GTTTTAGTGAGCTTTCTGGAATATGGATTTTTTTTTAAGACACAGAGGCACACATATCACTTTCACTCATCCTTATGGCATCTGAGATCACTTGAATGCAGGGTACACTCATTTGCAACCAATTGTCACGATCGTAGAAAGGAGCAGACCAAAGCGCAGCGTGTTGAGCGAACATCGTAGACTTTATTATTAAAGAAACCACGATAAAAACAATAAACCACGATCATGAAGTCCTCAGTGACACGACTGAAACGGAAACAATAACCCACAATGCCCACAGGAAAACATGCAGTATAAATATGGCTCCCAATCAGAGATAACGAGCCGACAGCTGACACTCGTTACCTCCGATTGGGAGTCAATGACCAAACCTAGAAATAAACGTGACAGAAATGCAAACATAGAAAATCACCCAAAACCCAACAAAACACAATACACCCTGGCTCAAATACAAAAGTCCCGGAGCCAGAGTGTTACAGTACCCCCCCCCTAAAGGTGCGCACTCCGGGCGCACCAGCATACAGTCTCGGGGAGGGTCTGGGTGGGCGTCTGTCCACGGTGGCGGTTCTGGCCCTGGTCGTGGTCCCCACCCCACCTTAGTCACCACCCGCTTCCCTAGCCTCCTCCACATGACCACCCCCCAATTAAACCCCACTGGATTAAGGGGCGGCACCGGACTAAGGGACAGTACCTGACTAAGGGGCGGATCCTGGCTGGCTGGCTCTGGCGGATCCTGGCTGGACGGCTCATGGCAGGCTGAAGGATCTGGCTGCTCCTGGCTGGCTGACGGATCTGGCTGCTCATGGCTGGCTGACGGATCTGGCTGCTCATGGCTGGCCGACGGATCTGGCTGCTCATGGCTGGCCGACGGATCTGGCTGCTCATGGCTGGCCGACGGATCTGGCTGCTCATGGCTGGCGGAAGGCTCTGGCTGATCCTGTCTGGCAGAAGGCTCTGGCTGATCCTGTCTGGCAGAAGGCTCTGGCTGATCCTGTCTGGCGGAAGGCTCTGGCTGATCCTGTCTGGCGGAAGGCTCTGGCTGATCCTGTCTGGCGGAAGGCTCTAGCGGCTCTGGTCTGGCGGACGGCTCTGATGGCTCATGGCAGACGGGCGGCTTTGCAGGCTTTAGGCAGACGGGCAGTTCAGGCCCCGTTGGGCAGACGGCAGACTCTGGCCGTCTGAGGCGCACCGTAGACTTAGTGCGGGTGGCCGGAACAGGCCGGACCGGGCTGGCGACGCGCACCGTAGTCTTGGTGCGGGTGGCAGGAACAGGCCGGGTCGGGCTGGCGACGCGCACCGTAGTCTTGGTGCGGGTGGCAGGAACAGGCCGGGTCGGGCTGGCGACGCGCCCCGTAGTCTTGGTGCGGGTGGCAGGAACAGGCCGGACCGGGCTGGCGACGCGCACCGTAGACTTGGTGCGGGTGGCAGGAACAGGCCGGACCGGGCTGGCGACGCACACCGTAGACCTGGTGCGGGTGGCAGGAACAGGCCGGACCGGGCTGTGGAGACGGATAGGAGGCCTGGAGCGAACAGCGGACACCACCCGTCCTGGCTGAATGCCTACCCTCACACACTCTGTGTGAGGCATCAGCACAGGACGTACAGGGCGGTGTACCCCTGGCCTGGTGGCCTCCTGGATACTCCCCCTTTTCTCCTCCGTCAGCCCCGTCGTCCATGCCGTGTGCCCCCCCCTAAAAATTTTCTGGGGTTGACACACGACCCTCCGACGATGGCCCTGCTGCCGCCGTTGCTCCTCTCTCGCCAGGGCCTTGATCCTTCCCCAAGGTCCCTTGCCTCCGAGCATGTCCTCCCAGGACCACGATGTGCCCACCTGGGCCATCGCCAGCCTCTCCATCTCCTTGCCCAGTGCCTCCTCCCATGTCCAGTCTCCCTGCTCCTGGACACGCTGCTTGGTCTTTCTTTGGTGGGTTATTCTGTCACGATCGTAGAAAGGAGCAGACCAAAGCGCAGCGTGTTGAGCGAACATCGTAGACTTTATTATTAAAGAAACCACGATAAAAACAATAAACCACGATCATGAAGTCCTCAGTGACACGACTGAAACGGAAACAATAACCCACAATGCCCACAGGAAAACATGCAGTATAAATATGGCTCCCAATCAGAGATAACGAGCCGACAGCTGACACTCGTTACCTCCGATTGGGAGTCATTGACCAAACCTAGAAAATCACCACTTTGACACCCAACATAGAACAAAACCACATAGACTGCACACACCCTGGCTCAACATAATGAGTCCCAGAACCAGGGTGTGACACCAATCTTTAATTCTACATGTCCCATCTTTCCATATAACATGCAACAAAAATCAAGATTACAATAATCTAAAGTTTTGAATTAAACTTTAAAATGCAGCTCTGGATTGTACATACACATTACACTGTCCATTTTGCCTATCCAACTAAAGATTAGGTTTCTCACAGGGTCAGTAGTCAACTATCTGTGTTTACCATGGTCACGGTTCATTCTACTTGTTAACAGTTATTAACTAGGATAGCCATAAGGTTTTAAACCAATGAGAATGTTCATGTTACCACCCCGGTAACAGTTTCTCAAGTGGTCCAAAGAAATGTAAACGCTGCCAAAACGATTCACACCTCCACCAGTATTGAAATGTTACCCTGTCAAACTCATGTCATGTCTCTGTCTCCTGACGACCAAAGAGGTTTGGCATGGCAGTCTTAGACACTGGCATTAGCTTAACCACTTCAGTTTGCAGTAAAAGGTTGCAGACATCAGTAGAGCAGCCACACCAACCACAATGAGAACTGCCACGGCAATCCCCAGGCCAAGCGCTGTGCACAAAGGGGAGAGGGAGCAACATGACACATTACACCAACAGCCAATGGAAGAGCTTCTTCCCATCTGAACAACTCTGACCTTCCTGTTAGAATGATGTTAACAACTTTAAAAGCGAAAGAGTTTCTGTCACTAATTGGTCATATGATAGTAGAGTTAACGTGATAAAGAAAAACGTACCCTCTTCTTTGGAAGTAAGAGAGACTAAAAAAGACAGAAAAACAGTATTCATAAGATTATTCCAAATAAATTGGCATTACATGTGAGTATTGGAAATGGAATTGGAAAACAATAAATAGGCCTAGTGAACATGAGGATGGTGAAATTATCTTTACATCAACAAATGTCTTTTAGGAAAGATATGAGATCCTAATATGAGCATATTGGTACATATAACATAACATATACACTACCAGTCAAAAGTTTGGACACACCTACTCATTCAATTGTTTTTCTTTATTTTTACTATTTTTTACATTGTAGAGTAATAGTGAAGACATCAAAACTATATTTTAAAAGCCACCCTTTTTCTTGATGACAGCTTTGCACACTATTTGGTAAAAGACCAAGTCCATATTATGGCAAGACCAGCTCAAATAAGCAAAGAGAAACAACAGTCCATCATTACTTTAAGACATGAAGGTCAGTCAATACAGAAAATGTCAAGAACTTTGAAAGTTTCTTGAAGTGCAGTCACAAAAACCATCAAGCACTATGATGAAACTGGCTCTCATGAGGACCGCCACAGGAATGGAAGACCCAGAGTTACCTCTGCTGCAGAGGATAAGTTCATTAGAGTTACCAACCTCAGAAATTGCAGCCCAAGTAAATGCTTCACAGAGTTCAAGTAACAGACACATCTCAACATCCACTGTTCAGAGGAGACTGTGTGAATCAGGCCTTCATGGTCGAATTGCTACAAAGAAACCACTACTAAAGGACACCAATAAGAAGAAGAGACTTGCTTGGGCCAAGAAACACGAGCAATGGACATTAGACCAGTGGAAATGTGTCCTTTGGTCTGGAGTCCAAATTTGAGATTTTTGGTTCCTACCGGCGTGTCTTTGTGAGACGCGGTGTGGGAGAACGGATGATCTCTGCGTGTGTATTTCCTGCCGTAAAGCATGGAGGAGGAGGTGTTATTGTGTGGGGGTGCTTTGCTGGTGATGCAGTCTGTGATTTATTTAGAATTCAAGGCACACTTAACCAGCATGGCTACCACAGCATTCTGCAGTGATACGCCATCCCATCTGGTTTGGGCTTAGTGGGACTATCATTTGTTTTTCAACAGGACAATTACACAACACACCTCCAGGCTGTGTAAGGGCTATTTGACCAAGAAGGAGAGTGATGAAGTGCTCCATCAGATGACCTGGCCTCTATTGTTGGAAAAGCATTCCAGGCGAAGCTGGTTGAGAGAATGCCAAGAGTGTGCAAAACTGTCATCAAGGCAAAGGGTGGCTATTTGAAGAATCTCAAATATAAAATATATTTTGATTCGTTTAACACTTTTTTTGCTTACTACATGATTCCATATGTGTTATTTCATAGTTTTGATGTCTTCACTATTAATTCGTAGAAAATAGTAAAAATTAAGAAAAACCCTTGAATGAGTAGGTGTGTCTAAACTTTTGACTGGTACTGTAGGTACATAGAGAGTGGACATACAGCTCTCTGCCATGGTCTTGATGGATCCTGAGGTGAGTGTAGACGTAACATAGAAAAACTAAAATCCGGGACACTCAAATTAGTATCATATGTTACGTTTGGCTCGTATGTTACGTATGGTATGTATTCTTTTGTGGATGTCCGTCATCCATTTCGTGTGATATGTTACGAATTATAATTCCTATTATATGTTACAAAAATAGGACTTTGGGTTGCTAGACGTTTGCATTATATGCCTACCTAACCACCTCGACCAACCACCCTCCTTTCGTTTTTGCCTCATATAACCATACCAAACAGTGTCCCGGATTTTCATTTACTATGTTACGTCTAGTGTATGAGACCAGGCTGTAAACATAGACAGCCCAAATGTGACTTCTGGAGGCAACCCTTTAGTAAGGGTCACTTCTAACTCCTTTAATTTGTAAAGCTCCCAACAATCAAAGCTGTGACATCTGTTGTGGATGGATGGAGCCTAAAGTTGTGTGGTCAGATCAATGGTACTGTACCTTGAAGGTGCTGCAAGTGGTGCAATCACAGAGGCGGGTGATGCAGTGCAAGTAGTAGGTGGAGACGGTCTGGTTCTGCTGCTTGATGAAGCGGAAGACAGGAAAGTAGAAACGGGCCTTCTGGCTGTCTCCATTCTCCAGCATGGTGGTCATCTGATCAATGGAGCAGCTTTACAAAAAAGGTGAACTTCACCTCACAATTACCCATTTGCACACAGGCAGGACAACACACTGCTAGTTACAGAAAGAGTATTAATGATTGATCTAAAAATCATATGAATGTTATGAATATGGCCCATTGGTGCCTAGATGAAGTGGCTACTCCTCCGTTTTGCATTGAGTTCACTAGATAAAGAGGAACCTGGATAAAGATAGTTAAATTTAGTGAGCAGGTGCACTGTGTCTGAATGGAAAGGAGGCAAGATGTTTAATCAAGCCCAGTATTACAATTAATACTAATTTGATATGAACCGGGCAACTAACACTTCTTCAATATTTGATTGAATAGTGTTAATCCTTTTTTTGACTTACGATACGAAGAGATTAAAGAATGTTGAGATGAAGGGCAAGGGGAAGACGAACACGTAACATCGGTCCAGAAGTGCATGGTATCTGTAGAGAAAGAGTGAGGTCATCAGAACTGAGTCAGACACTTCAGATCACAAGTAGAACACTTTGTGCACATTCTAAAACTGTTAGATTATTAATTATTCCTAAGGCTAAGAGGGAACACAACGAGAAGGTTCTTTCTGGCAAGTCAGGTTGGCAGCTAAAACCTGAACGCAGACATTAGTCCTCAGCTCAATACCCAGAGGAGGGATAACCAGGGGTGTGGTATAGTTTGCATCCTGGTGAAGGAAGAAAGGAGGATGGCACCATTATAAAAGCACACTTACATAAGATCTTACATAAGATCAGACATGTTTACACATTGGTATATTGCCATGTCGGAGCCGTGTGTATGTGAATGGGGGTGTTACGTAGGTGCTGGTTGTGTTATCCTACCCTGAACAGGGCCATGCTCAGAGCACTGATGAAACTACCATTGTTGTCCTTCACAGCAATGGAGGAGGCTGACCTGAGGAGGGGAAAAGAGAAAGGAGGTCAGACACAGTACCTAGATCCAGTGTAGCTGACTGATTACTACAGCAGGACCCAGGCTAACACTCTCCCCACAGAAAGAGCAACTGCTTTGAACTGTGTTTGAACTGTGTAATATCATACTGCTAACAAAACAACTGTATGGGCGCTCAGTTTCAACTGCAGAGCAGTGTCTGATTTTCAAATGTAAGCAATATATCCAGTAATTATTTTCTCTTACACGTCCACCTGGGTGTTCTTGACGAGGTACAGTACTCCAGAGGGTAAGCACAGGAGTAAAAGTACTTGAGCTGAGCATTATAGGTGACCGTTCCAATGTTGGGGTCGTATAATCGGACCACCCCGCTCACGTTGACCGTCTGGAGGCTGGAGAAGTCCGAGAATATCCCTGTTCCTGGAGCACATGTTGACTATGTGGCTTTGAAGGTTGCTGTGTGCAATAGTGTGTAGAAAATAACATTTTTCTCTGTCAGGACACCCCTTCAACACACAAGCAAACTAGAAAAAGAGATCTCTCATTCCCTTGAAGTTTATTTTAGACTGAAAGCCATCACCTGTTCAATTTAGTGTTACTTTCTAGCTCGTGATAAGGTAAGTTAAAAAAGTTGTAAAAGTTTCACAGGAGTCAAAACCTCTCAGAGAAACATAAATTCTCTGCTCCCCCATTCCCCTCAATCAAGTTCAGTGGTGCTGCAATCGTTCCCTCTATCACAACACTCCTCCAGGGCAGAAGGAGAGCATACATAAACATTATCCTATTAATAATCACCAAGAAGACACTCCCGCAGGCGTCCCCTTGGCGAAGGGGAAAGCTGAATCTCAGTACAGGAGGAGTCACTCTGGTGTTCAGAGTTCCCTTACAGACTGTGTTATCCATGATGTGGTTCCAGATCAACAGACTAGATGACAGGGCAGATTTGAATAGCCAGGTCAATGGAGGAGGTACCCCAGACCACTGAGATGTCTGTGTATTCTGACAGATGCAGGAAGACACTAATTAAGATTAAAAACATTCAAATATATTCTGAGCCAATGTATACAGATAAACCACTATAGTTTAAGTGTCCCTGCTCTGAAGCAATCTAGCTGTTTCAGACATGACTATAACCTTAACCACCTCAAATCCTTTTTTTTACCCCCTTTTTCATGATATCCAATTGTGATCTTGTCTCATCGCTGCAACTCCCCAACGGGCTCGGGAGAGGCGAAGGTCAAGTCACGCATCCTCCGAAACATGACCCACCAAACCGCGCTTCTTAACACCTGCTGCAACAATGTGTCAGAAGAAAAACCTTTCAACTGACGACCAAAGTCAGCCTGCAGTCGCGATGAGCCAAGTAAAGCCCTCCTGGCCAAACCCTCCCCTAAACCGGACGACGCTGGGCCAATTGTGAGCCACCCAATGGGACTCCCAGGCGACACAGCCTGGGATCGAACCCGGGTCTGTAGTGACACCTCAAGCACTGCGGTGCAGTGCCTTAGACTGCTGTGCCACTCGGGAGGCCCACCTCAAATCCTTTTATCATAAACACTGTCTTAGATGAAACTGAGATGGTTAGGCTTAGCTACAGTAAACAAGAGTTGAAATGTAGAAGTATTGTAGTTACTATACCTGGTTGTCTGGCGTAAGCTCCACATTCAGCAGGGGTGAGGGCCTGATCGTGGCCCACAATGCACAGGGAAGTCAGGATGAGGAAGCTGCATAAAGCCAATCTGTCCTCGCTGAAGATCTGCAGCAAAACACACAGATGTCAATGTCAAGCACAAAATATACAAATCCAAAATCCAATTTCAAGACTAGCATAAAATGCTATGGGATGACTCCTTATTCCTAGATGTGTGCAATCTGTAATAGGCCAGAAGAGGTGTGGTATATGGCCAATATACCACGGCTAAGGGCTGTTCTTACGCACGACGCAACGCAGAATGCCTGGATACAGCCCTTAGCTGTGGTATATTGGCCATATATCACAAACCCCCGAGATGCCTTAGTGCTATTATAAACTGGTTACCAGCGTAATTACAGCAGTAAAAATAAATGTTTTGTCATACCCGTGGTATACAGTTTGATATACCATGGCTGTCAGCCAATCAGCATTCAGGGCTTGAACCACCCAGTTTATAATTACTGTCGACACGTTGTATATATAGGGACCAGGACTAGTTATATAGTTCTCATACTTCCTTGGGATTGGTTGGAAACAGGGTCATTGCCATCTTGGTGGGGCTGTCTCAGGTAGTGGGAACCATTCACTTTTGTGGCTAAGGCACTGTGGGTCTTTTCCTGGAGGCAAATTCATGAAACATAGGGCAGGTGTCTTTGTGACTTTGTGCGTGATCCTGCTCCCCTTTGTATGCTTATATGAAACTTAATAATCAAGTAAGTATATGGTTCATGGTCTTTAGGGACCACACACACAATGTGAGGGGCGTCTTGTTGTTTCCTTTAAGTTTCCCTTAAGTTCTAATACGATTTAGGTGACCCACACCTAGTTTTCAACCACTTTTAAGGGAGGGGGCTTCAGCACTATAGTATATGAGCATTAAAATGAGATACTTTTATGTTGGGTGGGTAATTAACATCACATTACAATGCTCTGATTAAAAACGTCATATTAAAGGCCCTATGCTAATCAAGTGAATCCAAATACATTACAGTGAGCAAGTACTGATTACAGTTATCAAAAACACTTTGAACAAATTAAATTCTTCCTGACAGTGTTGGGGAAAGTACTAATATTATACAGAGCATGTCTGAAAAATGTAAAGCACCCATCCAGACACATATTCATAATGAACCTATGAAAAAAACGATCATGTGACTCCAATGCAAATAAAACCAAATATGATGTGTAAATGTCACCAAGAAACGTCACAGAGAAACGTGCCCTGTGTGACTTCGAAGAGTTGAGTCCACATACTATTATTCATCTGTCTATATCTCGTGGCCCTTCTTCTTCGGTTCTGGAATCAGTAGTGGGACTTAAAGGAAGTGCATGAAGGCGACACTGGTAACCTGATCTTGTCAGGTTCAGCCACCTGGGAAGGGAAAAAACATTTATTTGATTAATAATAAGAAATATAATAATAATAATACATTTAATTGTATAGAGCTTTCAATTGCAGTTATCTCAAAAAGCTCAAATTTTGGTTTAGGGTCAAATCAGAGCACATGGGTGTTACCATGATCCCACCATTTTTATGCTATTCATCCGGATGTGTTTACCAGACATGATGCCCAACCATATTTATAGTTATACTTACAGGGGCAAAAAAGTATTTAGTCAGCCACCAATTGTGCATGTTCTCCCACTTAAAAAGATGAGAGAGGCCTGTAATTTTCATCATAGGTACACGTCAACTATGACAGACAAATTGAGAAAAAAAAATCCAGAAAATCCCATTGTAGGATCTTTAATGAATTTATTTGCAAATTATGGTGGAAAATAAGTATTTGGTCACCTACAAACAAGCAAGATTTCTGGCTCTCACAGACCTGTAACTTCTTCTTTAAGAGGCTCCTCTGTCCTCCACTCGTTACCTGTATTAATGGCACCTGTTTGAACTTGTTATCAGTATAAAAGACACCTGTCCACAACCTCAAACAGTCACACTCCAAACTTCACAATGGCCAAGACCAAAGAGCTGTCAAAGGACACCAAAAACAAAATTGTAGACCTGCACCAGGCTGGGAAGACTGAATCTGCAACAGGTAAGCAGCTTGGTTTGAAGAAATCAACTGTGGGAGCAATTATTAGGAAATGGAAGACATACAAGACCACTGATAATCTCCCTCGATCTGGGGCTCCATGCAAGATCTCACCCCGTGGGGTCAAAATGATCACAAGAACGGTGAGCAAAAATCCCAGAACCACACGGGGGGACCTAGTGAATGACCTGCTGAGAGCTGGGACCAAAGTAACAAAGCCAACCATCAGTAACACACTACGCCGCCAGGGACTCAAATCCTGCAGTGCGAGACGTGTCCCCCTGCTTAAGCCAGTACATGTCCAGGCCCGTCTGAAGTGCATTTGGATGATCCAGAAGAGGATTGGGAGAATGTCATATGGTCAGATGAAACCAAAATATAACTTTTTGGTAAAAACTCAACTCGTCATGTTTGGAGGACAAAGAATGATGAGTTGCATCCAAAGAACACCATACCTACTGTGAAGCATGGGGTTGGAAACATCATGCTTTGGGGCTGTTTTTCTGCAAAGGGACCAGGACGACTGATCCGTGTAAAGGAAAGAATGAATGGGGCCATGTATCGTGAGATTTTGAGTGAAACCCTCCTTCCATCAGCAAGGGCATTGAAGATGAAACGTGGCTGGGTCTTTCAGCATGACAATGATCCCAAACACACCGCCCGGGCAACGAAGGAGTGGCTTCGTAAGAAGCATTTCAAGGTCCTGGAGTGGCCTAGCCAGTCTCCAGATCTCAACCCCATAGAAAATATTTGGAGGGAGTTGAAAGTCTGTGTTGCCCAGCGACAGCCCCAAAACATCACTGCTCTAGAGGAGATCTGCATGGAGGAATGGGCCAAAATACCAGCAACAGTGTGTGAAAACCTTGTGAAGACGTACAGAAAACGTTTGACCTGTGTCATTGCCAACAAAGGGTATATAACAAAGTATTGAGAAACTTTTGTTATTGACCAAATACTTATTTCCACCATCATATGCCAATAAATTCATTAAAAATCCTACAATGTGATTTTCTGGATTTTTTTTTCTAATTTTGTCTGTCATAGTTGACGTGTACCTATGATGAAAATTACAGGCCTCTCTCATCTTTTTAAGTGGGAGAACTTGCACAATTGGTGGCTGACTAAATACTTTTTTTCCCCACTGTAGTTCTCATACTTCCTTGGGATTGGTTGGAAACAGGGTCATTGCCATCTTGGTGGGGCTGTCTCAGGTAGTGGGAACCATTCACTTTTGTGGCTAAGGCACTGTGGGTCTTTTCCTGGAGGCAAATTCATGAAACATAGGGCAGGTGGCTTTGTGACTTTGTGTGTGATCCTGCTCCCCTTTGTATGCTTATATGAAACTTAATAATCAAGTAAGTATATGGTTCATGGTCTTTAGGGACCACACACACAATGTGAGGGGCGTTGTTTCCTTTAAGTTTCCCTTAAGTTCTAATACGATTTAGGTGACCCACACCTAGTTTTCAACCACTTTTAAGGGAGGGGGCTTCAGCACTATAGTATATGAGCATTAAAATGAGATACTTTTATGTTGGGTGGGTAATTAACATCACATTACAATGCTCTGATTAAAAACGTCATATTAAAGGCCCTATGCTAATCAAGTGAATCCAAATACATTACAGTGAGCAAGTACTGATTACAGTTATCAAAAACACTTTGAACAAATTAAATTCTTCCTGACAGTGTTGGGGAAAGTACTAATATTATACAGAGCATGTCTGAAAAATGTAAAGCACCCATCCAGACACATATTCATAATGAACCTATGAAAAAAACGATCATGTGACTCCAATGCAAATAAAACCGAATATGATGTGTAAATGTCACCAAGAAACGTCACCGAGAAACGTGCCCTGTGTGACTTCGAAGAGTGAGTCCACATACTTATTATTCATCATGTCTATATCTAGTGGCCCTTCTTCTTCGTTCTGGAATCAGTAGTGGGACTTAAAGGAAGTGCATGAAGGACACTGGTAACCTGATCTTGTCAGGTCAGCCACCTGGGAAAGGAAAACATTTATTCTGATTAATAATAATAAATAATAATAATAATAATACATTTAATTTGTATAGCGCTTTTCATTGCAGTTATCTCAAAGCTCAAATTTGATTAGGGTCAAATCAGAGCACATGGGTGTTACCATGATCCCATCCATATATTTATAGATTCTTATTCCATCCCTTTACTTAGATTTGTGTGTATTAGGTTTTTGTTGTGGAACTGTTAGATATTACTTGCTAGACATTGCTGCACTGTCGGAACTAGAAGCACAAGCATTTCGCTACACTTGCAATAACATCTGCTAACCATGTGTATGTGACCAATACTGATTTGTGAAGTGCACAAAACCATGGAGAGGATTACGAACACACACACAAGACATTGTCATTGTCATGACGTGTACACTTAAACATGTCAGGGTCTTTCTACCTTTTTTCACAGATCATGTGTTTTCAGGTCACTACAAAAAAGGAAATGCAGCCTGGGTTTGGACCTGGTAGTGACCTGAACTTGGGTTGAATATTGAATGTCCATGAAAAAACAAAACATAATCGCTTATCAGAGTTAGTAAATCTAGAGGGTGATGACTGCTCTCATTTCTCTCCTCTCAGTCATCGACAGCCATTGTGGACAGAGAATATAATGTATAATAGCTGCTGAAATATGGGATTAGCACAATAAAGGGCCCCGATTGCAGGATTTTAGTGTGGGTTACATTTCGACAATTGGCATGGAGTTAGACATGTTATAGCAGCTCACTGGGACCATATTCCTCTGATATGGAGGTATATAAATCATGATCATCATATAATTGAATTACAATTGCTGGAATACAATTGAAAATAGCAATATTTATGCTGTATCTTTGTTTACAAACTGCCTACGCACTTATTCTGAAAACTGGAAACATGGCTCTGCCTGTACTTTCTACAATAATCAAAAACCTTCTGTGATTTTATTTGACCAAAATCAGGCCCGATTGAATTCTAGCTTGAAGTCTGAAACACGCAACAACATCAGTGTTAAGATTATACTGATACACTATAAATAAGGTCATAAATTATATAATTAGGCAGACTGATATGTAAAAGATTTATTTGAAAAATAACCCCCCACATGTAACTCCTATCAACATGATTATAACTTTAAACACATAATACGAAATTAAGTAATTACAGTAAATTGATTATTGCTTTCTTTTTTTAACCTTACACATCAATGAAGGTTAAATAGCACATTCCCTTAAAAGGGGAAAAAACACATCATCCTCAAATCAAAAAAGCACAGGCTGAAATCCTGACTTGAGCAAGTAATTAGAGATTTTTTAAATTAAGCATTGATGTCAAAAACTTTCACAAACATTCAAGTTATGTGGAAGTCAGGATTTTGGCCATAATTAATACCAATAAGTACATACGGTATATCAATATTCATCATGATCATACATATAAAACGATGAATCACTTCTTCAATTCTCCTCACGTGTTAGTACTATACTTAAGCCTACCTTTTCTCAGGTTAAAATAGAAATCAAATATCTACAAGAAACGTTTTGGTGTTGGCCTTTGTAGAGGACAGTAGCAGTCATCCCCGGGTGTCAGGGTTATTTGGATGACCCTTTATTTCTTTAATGTAACTGATCCCGTGCCAAGCAATGGATTACAAAAATACACTAAGGTATTGAATAGATAGGAAATGAGCCTCACATACTGATCTGGGTCAGTTTTATTACACACTACCTGTAAAGAACAATACACTGGTCTATCAATGGATCAAAACGAAGCACAGGAAAACAGTTCATAACATTGTTATTATTGAACATATACTGTTCCCCTGTTCACAAAGGAGGAATTAACTATTTACAGTATCAATATGCCCTTGAGTCTGTGTATGTACATGTACACGTGAGTGTGTGACAGAGTTTGGCATGACAGTGACTGTTACAGCTGCCGGATAAGAGTAAGTTAGCGAAATGGAGAGTAAGTACACATTCAGGGAAGATAGAGTAGCTAAGTATACGTTTCAGAAAATACAGGTCCCGCTCTACAATAACTGTCCCTATTATGTATTGATGTATTTACTTGGTAGTTACATAGGCACAAAGTGAAACTATTGTTTGTGGCGAAACCTCCTCTTACTCTAGAGTCATTTAGATCACAGTTATCTCTATTGTGAGTTTATTTGCAAGTTATTTACATTTTGCATCGTATTTTCACTGCAATTACACTGCACCTGCCTATTTTAACTACAGTGAAAAGACATACTGCAGGTATTAGTTATAGTTAGATGGATAAGAAAGAGAGAGAAAAAAAGTGAGAGGGGGAGAATGAAAGAGAGATAATGAGAATGCGAGAGAGAGAAAGAGAGGGAGAGAGCACACACACGCACGAGAGGTTTATTTAAAGTCAGGGTTCCATGCTCCTGAGGGTGTGGCTGTAGGGAGGTGGGGTCTGCGGAGGAGGCGGAGCGAGAGCAGGAAGAAGCCCAGACTGAACACGCCCAGAATGACCACACCTGACAGCAGAGCACTGGTCACTGGGTTCAACGGGAGGGAGGGGCCACTCGATGCAGCTGGATTACCACACAAAAACACACAAAGAGTAAGTATGGGCAGACACAAATACTCACTGATATAGGCTAAAATTACCAAAGTTAATGGTTAAGAAATACAAAAGGGAAGTGAAACTTATGAGTTAACTATTACTATAATCACTTCCGCTGTAAATCCAAGGGTGTCATATTTTATTTTGAAGACAGTGAATGTATAAAGAATGTAAATATGTAGCACAGTAAATTGTCTTTTGACGTCATAGAGTTTATAGATGAGAAAAATATATAACTTGTCTAGGCATTGCACAAGCAGTGACAAAGTGAGAGAGCTTACCGAGTTGTGAGTTATTCGTTGGAGTTTCATCTGTAAGGAAACATAATCAATCATTGATGCTTTCAGAGTTTCAACATTGATATGACGTGCAAATTGCAGGATTTGTTCATATGTTTGATATTGTGAGCTGCATAGGATTTTGAGGATGAGGACATTGTATTTATTTCTGTCACTGGTGGGTGCCAGAAGGTATGCGTGCAACGGAAGACTGGGGGGCCACTGGTGCTAATCTTAGAAGGAGTACGTGATGGAATATCCTGACTAGGGTGCAAGACGATACTATATAGGGTGATACTATTGTGGTTAGGAGTGACACCCAGTAATGGTTGGAAAATGTTGGATAGAATTAGCTTGCACGCAGTATATAAACTGAGAGGTTTTCTATGAAATTCATTTGAATAGTGAGATGCAACCCACGTGTATCTTGCTATGTTGAATCCGGTGGGGAGTTGGTAGAGCATGGCGCTTACAACGCCAGGGTTGTGGGTTCGATTCCCACGGGGGCCAGTATGAAAAATGTATGCACTCACTAACTGTAAGTCGCTCTGGATAAGAGCGTCTACTAAATGACTAAAATGTAAATGTAAAATGTGAGTTCAAATGACAATAGGCCACCCAAGTGCCGCTTGTTATGTGGAATCCGGTACCGTAATATTAAATACATGTATCAACTCTCCATCTACAGTGGGGGAAAAAAAGTATTTAGTCAGCCACCAATTGTGCAAGTTCTCCCACTTAAAAAGATGAGAGAGGCCTGTAATTTTCATCATAGGTACACGTCAACTATGACAGACAAATTGAGATTTTTTTTTCCTGAAAATCACATTGTAGGATTTTTTATGAATTTATTTGCAAATTATGGTGGAAAATAAGTATTTGGTCATCTACAAACAAGCAAGATTTCTGGCTCTCACAGACCTGTAACAACTTATTTAAGAGGCTCCTCTGTCCTCCACTCGTTACCTGTATTAATGGCACCTGTTTTAACTTGTTATCAGTATAAAAGACACCTGTCCACAACCTCAAACAGTCACACTCCAAACTCCACTATGGCCAAGACCAAAGAGCTGTCAAAGGACACCAGAAACAAAATTGTAGACCTGCACCAGGCTGGGAAGATTGAATCTGCAATAGGTAAGCAGCTTGGTTTGAAGAAATCAACTGTGGGAGCAATTATTAGGAAATGGAAGACATACAAGACCACTGATAGTCTCCCTCGACGCAAGATCTCACCCCGTGGGGTCAAAATGATCACAAGAACGGTGAGCAAAAATCCCAGAACCACACGGAGGGACCTAGTGAATGACCTGCAGAGAGCTGGGACCAAAGTAACAAAGCCTACCATCAGTAACACACTACGCCGCCAGGGACTCAAATCCTGCAGTGCCAGACGTGTCCCACTGCTTAAGCCAGTACATGTCCAGGTCCAGTTTGCTAGAGTGCATTTGGATGATCCAGAAGAGGATTGGGAGAATGTCATATGGTCAGATGAAACCAAAATAGAACTTTTTGGTAAAAACTCAACTCGTCGTGTTTGGAGGACAAAGAATGCTGAGTTGCATCCAAAGAACACCATACCTACTGTGAAGCATGGGGGTGGAAACATCATACTTTGGGGCTGTTTTTCTGCAAAGGGACCAGGACGACTGATCCGTGTAAAGGAAAGAATGAATGGGGCCATGTATCGTGAGATTTTGAGTGAAAACCTCCTTCCATCAGCAAGGGCATTGAAGATGAAACGTGGCTGGGTCTTTCAGCATGACAATGATCCCAAACACACCGCCCGGGCAACGAAGGAGTGGCTTCGTAAGAAACATTTCAAGGTCCTGGAGTGGCCTAGCCAGTCTCCAGATCTCAGCCCCATAGAAAATCTTTGGAGGGAGTTGAAAGTCTGTGTTGCCCAGCGACAGCCCCAAAACATCACTGCTCTAGAGGAGATCTGCATGGAGGAATGGGCCAAAATACCAGCAACAGTGTGTGAAAACCTTGTGAAGACTTACAGAAAACGTTTGACCTGTGTCATTGCCAACAAAGGGTATATAACAAAGTATTGAGAAACTTTTGTTATTGACCAAAGACTTATTAACCACCATAATTTGAAAATAAATTCATTAAAAATCCTACAATGTGATTTTCTGGAATTGTTTTTCTCATTTTGTACCTATGATGAAAATTACAGGCCTCTCTCATCTTTTTAAGTGGGAGAACTTGCACAATTAGTGGCTGACTAAATACTTTTTTCCCCACTGTAAGTGTTTAACTATTCTCTTGCATCCTGAATTACTTGATACCGGAAAACTCATCATAACAAACATTATTGTTTTTAATACAAATGTACTGAATAACCATTGATTATACTGTCAAATCCCACCTAATTTTATTCTCACAGCACCCTCCATCAGTAGATTTCAAGACTATACAGTATATAATCGAAAGGGATTATCGTGTATAGGCTACATCACATCATACAGTTGTAATACTTTACAACTATATCATGGATATCAAAATAATCTAATTAAAGTCAGACAAAACTATAGTAGAAGTTTAAGTGGTTATGGATGAAGATATGTACTGCGTACCACTCCTGGTGATGATGGGTCCAGCGGTGATGATGGCATCCCCAGACAACGGCCTAGACTCCAGGCTCTCCTCTATGTCCCGCCTACGCCGACGACCACAGATCTGCCAATCACAGACATATACCCTTTTATATGATCCCGTATTAAATAGGTAATAGTGAATAGTGCTAAGGTATTACTGGACTATGTGAAGCTTCATATTGATCAGAAGTCAAGAAATATGGTACATATTTTCTGATATTTGCAGAGCATTGAAGTTCACCCTGTTGACTGTACTGATGTTGAACACACCATTTGGTAAGGCGTCACATGTTCTTACCGGCATGAGCAGGACACAGTCATCCACCCGACACAGCTTGGTGACACAGTGCAGAAACACAGTGGACATCTTCTGGTGTCTGTGTTTGACGAAACGGAACACTTCAAAGGCAAAACGACCCATTTGACTCTTCCCATTCTCGAAAACAGTCGTCTGTGGGTCTTTATGGCAGCTGTTTGGAAAGAGCATTGTACGTACGCACACACACACACACACACACACACACACACAAAATGCACTGAAACGTCTAGGCCTGTTTTAACTGCTCAATTAGAAAAATATCATATCATTCACCATGAGAACACATTGTAAGGGCCTCTATGATAAGTGGTTGAGGGTGAATGGGTAATGGGACACTTTTGTCATTTATCCTGGCATCATTTGAGAAAAAGCGTGATTACCCAAAGAAAAGGTCGTAGCGCAGTTCATCATTGGGATTCCCTGAGGGAGTGGTGTAACAGTAGTCCATTAAGATATTCCATCTAGAGAGAGACAAAACAGTACGGGGCTGATACAGGATAGAGATCTAACCACACAACACAACAGGACAGATCAGACATTCTTAGCACCACCTCTGGCGCCTTCACACAGCAATAGAGGACAGCTGAATGGCAATGAACCAAAGAGGATAGAACTGAATTGGTAGGGTGCATAGAGGTCAGGTCTTAAACGATAGCGTATGTGTATGACATACTGTGTATGACATAGTGCGGTTGTACTTGACTACTATATCAATTCTATGCCATCCAGGTTATGTGAGAGAAAGTCCCAGCAGGTTACAGCTTTCAATTAATTTTTTTAACAGCACTTATCATGCCGGAATCATAGCTTTCTGTTCACATCATGTTGGAAATCTTTGTGCTTCTCAGATCATATCCCCATCTGTATTGTGAATAATAGAAACGAGAACAAAAAATAAAACTTTTTAATATCTGAACATCTCCTTATCTCTTACCGTTTGTCCAGGTTTGTTGCTTTCACTGCAGCAAACACTCTGGTTTTCAAAGCCAGTCCGGCCATTGGGATAGAGAGTTGTTGGTTGTAGGTTGAGTCCTTCACAAAAAGGAGTTTGGCCGTGAATCAAAAAGTTGCCAATTTTTATGAAACTCTATGTCTCTTTCTACCTAATAAAATTGTTTCATCATTTGTTTAGTATTTTGACAGCAGCATGTTCTAGTTATTATTTGACATTGAATTCCTACTATGAGGGCCCTGTTATGAAGTCCTTGTGTGCCCTAAAAAAAAACACTGATGTTGTGTACTCACATTGTAAAGGATCAAACTCAATGTGCTCACAAAGGTACCGTTGCTGTCCTTCACTGATATTGCAGCAGATGATCTAGAAAAGGCTCAAATTAATTAGTACAGTTTAGACAGGTAAACATGCTTTTGTTTTTTTGAATTTTTGTTTAATGAAGTCTGCACTGAATAGTTGGTATTTGGTATTTTATTAGGATCCCTATTAGCTGTTGCGAAAGCAGCAGCTACTCTTCCTGGGGTCCACACGAAACATGAAACATGACGTAATACTGAACATTAATAGACAAGAACAGCTCAAGGACAGAACTACATCAATTTAAAAAAGGCACACATAGCCTACATATCAATACATACTGTACACACAAACTATCTAGGTCAATATGAAATTGCTGACTGACTTCAAATGTCAAATTCATCTTCCAAATATCAAATTCATCTATAAAAAATACTGAAATATCTCTACTTATTCAATACTTAAATTGTATTCAAAATAAGCCCTTCAGGTGTTTATGGCAGGCACCTACGATGCCAGCTGTGAGTTGTTGACCAGGTATTCCAGGGGGTAGCTGCAGCTGAATTTGTACAGCAGGCCCGGCAGATAGCTGATGATGGATGGCGGGTCTGGAGTGTCGATGTACCCTGATATATTCCCAATCTGCACCAACGACATGTTCCCGTAGGCATTAGCCCCGTGGGCTGTTGTCACCTGAGGACAGGGACATCGTCTCTAAATACACAATCTAGTACAACTCCTACCATAGCCTCAAGCAAGACGTGCTCCCAAAATGTAAAACACATTAGATCCTGGTGGTCATACTAATAACAGCTGCGTAAGTACCTCTGTAGCTCAGCTGGTAGAGCACGGCGCTTGTAACGCCAAGGTAGTGGGTTCGATCCCCGGGACCACCCATACACAAAAATGTATGCACGCATGACTGTAAGTCGCTTTGGATAAAAGCGTCTGCTAAATGGCTTATTATTATTATTATAAGTATAAAACATAACAGTAGGTGTGTGCGCATGTCTGTCTGTGTGTGTATGTGTGTGTTTCTTACCACCAGGCTGTTGCCGCAGGCCTCCAGTGTGCTGAGGCTGATGCTGAACAGTACCGCCGTGGGGAACGTGTTGTTATTGATGAAGCCCCGGCAGTGGGTATCGCCATGGCGACCATTTAGCGCAAGGTCTGCAAGCGTGTAGCCGGAGAACAGCACCGGGCAGAAGTTAATCTTCAGGGTCATGGTCTGAACCCCACAGTACACGCTGATGTCGCGCTCCGCTAAAGAGAGAGAGAGAGAGAAGAAAAAGGGTAAACAGCAATTCTAACAACAATTCTCTGACCTAAGTATATGTAAAAATGATTTGAGAGGAGAATTTACATAGAGATTAAATGACTATCATGCTCACCGGGAAACCTACTGTGGTAGTTGGCATCACAGTTGTATCCATTAAACTGTGCCAAGACTGAAGTGGTCCTACTCATCAGCAGGAGGATCAAACATATGCGCTCCATTTTAGCACCTAGAGAGGGAGGTTCACACATTTCTATCCTTCAGAATGTCAACAACTTATAACCTTCAGGGTGTTGCATGAATGACGGTAACTGTACTGTACCTTCAAGTTATTTAAAAGCCTTTTCAAATCCCATAAAGTCCTCCAACACCTCTCATCTAGACCTCCTCTTACCATAAACCCTCTCCAAATCCCCTTACTGTCTCTCTTTCCAAAACTCATAATACCCCAGCCCCTTTACTCTAGTCCCCTAACTACTCTAACAAGTCTCCTCTTTCCAAGACCCACCAACCCCTTTTTATCCTGTTCCCTTCTTTTTCTGACCCCCTTGCTCTGGGCCCGAGCCCATCTTACCCTGGTCTGTGTAGTGGCCAGCTCACCGGTGCTCCATGTGGTCTCGGCTGCAGCAAAAAAACAAATGGACGGGCCAGCTCTCTCCACAAAATGTGTGTGTGCCAACGTGCGTGCGTGAGTGCATATGTGTGTGCCCACGCAGAGATAGAGAGAAACGGGGACTCATTATGGAAACACTTCAACAAAAAGTGCTTCCCAGCAGAACATGGGAAACTTCATCAGAGGTGAATGGCCTGGACAAATCTTTTCACGGTGCCCCGAAATCTGAGCGGTCTCGCAGGGTTCCCACTGATCTCCCCTTGGCCTGATCTCCGTCTGTCATCCCACACAAATGGCCTCCTCAGCAGGGGGCCCGGCCCGGGAATTAAGCTGTCATCAGGTGCTGAGGAGAGTGGGCCGCGGCCTACATTCACATGGACATAAAAGTCAACTCACGTCTGGTCTGCATTGTCTAATGTAGGGCTGTGTGTAGGTATTTGTGATGCGCAGGGTATCACTTAGGGTAAAGTGAATTCTGTGATTTAAACAGAAGAGTTTATGGTGTAGTTTGGATCTACTTAGACGTGCAAGTTTTGTTTTGAAGGTCTTTTACATGAAATTATATGACTTTTGATTAATAAAAATTTAAGCTGCAAAGCTCTAAATTAACTTTAGTCATTGGTAGAACTGGTGCTCCCAACTAAAAAAAGGTAGGAGCACACCGAACAGTATTTAGGAGCACCAGAAAAGAGATTGATTTAAATTTAATTAGATATGGACTACATTAGCACATCTCCTATCCAGGAGCCTCTTTCCATTCTTCCAGTGCCATCTTAAACCATACAGGTTAAGTTACCAGGTTATTAGCCAGCAAGGTAACATGACTGGACAAGGTTGTTTTGTTATCAAACAAATACTTAACGACCCGCAAGTAGTTTAAAACGGTATGCAACATGGTATATGAATTTATAATGACCACAATAAAAAAATCTATCTCAGGTAATATGAGTTATACATTTTGAACGGTTTGAGCTAGAGACGAGATATTTTCTAAATGGTAAAGATGGGGTGGAACCATGACGGTCTCGAATACTACTCTTGGTACAGCAAAGCATCATCAGACGAGGCTTGGCCATGTGTTCATGGTTCTCAGGTGCAAAGGGAAGTGAATTGAACACTGTCGCTACCTCACTCTCCAAGATCCAACCAAGGTGCATAAATTGAGGAGCAAACAGAATAGATAAGAAAATGAAGGAGGCTTTTATACAGTATATTTAAAATTGGCCTCTGTTAATGGATCAATCACAATGATAATACAAAACATGATGTGATTGGTCAGATTTTTAAAACGTATTTACCAATCACATCATGTTTTTTGTATTCCCATTGTGATTGGCCACTGAACCCATTTGAAATATATAACAGCCTCCTTCATCATTTCATCTGTAAAAACTAAAGCAATTAAGCAAAGATTGTATATATACTGATGACCAAAGTTTTACTTTATAACTTACTGAAGCACTTCTATCAACTTTCACTCTCTTCTGAAAATTGCAGAATTTCCTCAACTCGCACAGGTGAGGTGAAATGATACAATGGCTATTTCTTAATTGGATTTGCTCAACTCCTGCATCCTCTCTCCTCCTTCCTCTCTCGCCTCCTTTTGAAAAAGGTCAAAGGTAATCGAGGGGAGGCAGCGAAGACAAGGAACGTGGACGAAAATGCACTTGTATGAAAGGAGACTCTTCTCTCCACACATCAAGCAAATGACGTTTACAGGGGTGGAATCCCAAAATAAATGTGTAAAGTGATAAAACAAATGTTGCTAGTTGTGCATTGTATAGATAAAAGGATGAGTTGCATTTCGTTTTTTAAATGTTTCCATGCTTTTCTCCTTCGAGAAAACAACAACTGCTTCAAAGAGGGTGTGGCAGATACACTATATATACAAAGTATGTGGACACCCCTTGAAATTAGTGGATTCGGCTATTTCAGCCACACCCATTGCAGACAGGTGTATAAAATCGAGCACACAGCCATGCAATCTCCATTGAAAAACATTGGCAGTAGAATGGCCATACTGAAGAGCTCAGTGACTTTCAATGTGGCACCGTCATAGGATACCACCTTTCCAACAAGTCAGTTCGTCAAATTTCTGCCCTGGTAGAGCTGCCCCGGTCAACTGTAAGTGCTGTTATTGTGAAGTGGAAGGTCTAGGAGCAACAACGGCTCAGCCGCGATGTGGTAGACCACACAAGCTCACAGAACGGGACCACCGAGTGCTGAAGTGCGTAGCGCATAAAAAAAGTTTGTCCTCGGATGCAACACTCACTACCGAGTTCCAAACTGCCCCTGGAAGCAATGTCAGCACAATAACTGTTCGTTGGGAGCTTCATGAAATGGGTTTCCATGGCCGAGCAGCCGCACACAAGCCTAAGATCACCATGCGCAATGACAAGCGTCAGCTGGAGTGGTGTAAAGCCCGCTGCCATTGGACTCTGGAGCAGTGGAAATGTGTTCTCTGGAGTGATGAATCACGCTTCACCATCTGGCAGTCCAAAGGACGAATTTGGGTTTGGCGGATGCCAGGAGAACGCTTCCTGCCCCATTGCATAGTGCTAACTGTAAAGTTTGGTGGAGAAGGAATAATGGTCTGGGGCTGTTTTTCATGGTTCGGGCTAGGCACCTTAGTTCCAATGAAGCGTAATCTTAACACTACAGCATACAAGGATATTCTAGACGATTCTGTGTTTCCAACTTTGTGGCAACAGTTTGGGGAAGGCCCATTCCTGTGTCAGCATGACAATGCCCCTGTGCACAAAGCGAGGTCCATACAGAAATGGTTTGTCGAGATCGGTGTGGAAGAACTTGACTGGCCTGCACAGAGTCCTGACCTCAAGCCCATCGAACACCTTTGGGATGAATTGGAACGCCGATTGCGAGCCAGGCCTAATCGCCCAACATCAGTGCCCGACCTCACTAATGCTCTTGAGGCTGAATGGAAGCAAGTCGCCACAGCAATGTTCAAACATCTAGTGGAAAGCCTTCCCAGAAGAGTGGAGGCTGTTATAGCAACAAAGGGGGGACCAACTCCGTACTAATGTCCATGATTTTGGAATGAGATGTTCGATGAGCAGGTGTCCACATACTTTTGGTCATGTATGTATCAAAACTCTTCTGTGAAGGAGTCAGGTAGGATACACATGAGTATCCATGGCTATCGAGGAGGGAGGACACACTTCCATTCGCCTACTAACAAACTTACGCTCTACTCGACCACTTGACCATTTATCTGTTTCCGGGTCACGGTGGAAAGGGGACAGAGGAGAGAGGACAGACTTTTGCCCAAATGAAAAAAGGCCAATGTATCGACTTTGCTATTGGTGCATGCCACTCAAATAATAATATAAAATATAACAAGAGTCTAAACAGGACACTAAATGATACAATTTAACAACTTTGCTTGCTCCCAACCACACAAACATATTAATTGAATGGCAACATTATGGCTGCGCTTACACAGCCAGCCCAGTTCTGAACTTTCCCACTAATTGGTCTTTTGACCAATCAGATCAGCTCTTTTGCCAATAATTGGGCAAAAGATCAGAATTGGGCTGTCTGTGTAAACGCAGCCATAATGTTGCCATTCAATTAATGTGCTATGTGGGTGAATATTTTTCTACAGTAGGCACACTCAAATCAAAACTCCAGGTCGCAGAGCAAAATATTTAGGAGCATTTGCGACCAGAATGGTCCCAATTTAGAAGCTATCACATTAATACGTTTTTGATTAATTTTTACACCACATCGCCCTTACAGCTTCACTGGCTGTTATGTGTTACTATCAGACAGAATACTTTTGTGTGAACATACTGGGATTCTCAACCTGATCTGACAGGCTTCTTCAAAGCCCAATATTATACCTCGGCTTGATGAAAAACTAATCAGAGGTCTAATATTGGCCTCAATATTATACCCCGGTTTAATTAAATAATTCATCAGAGGTCTAATATAGGGCTCGATATTATACCTCTGATTAATTTAATAATTAATCAGAGGTCTAATTATAGGCTACTTCAAGGGTTTCTTTCCAGATGAGCTGGGGCCTAGTGTGAGTGTAAGGTCAGGGGGTCTCTGGTTCCTCACCCATTAACCCATCGCTCCAGCAACACCCCTGGAACAGAATGGAAATGGAAACTTTAGAGAATCTCTTTAGAGAATACTTTTATAACATAACAGGTTTTTGGCTTTATGTTACATTTTTTTCTTTTTTTCTTTTTGTTACATAACATGCTTATGTAATAACATACAATATCAAATAAATCAAATCAAATACAATTGTATTTGTCACATGCGCCGATTACAACAGGTGTAGACCTTACTGTGAAATGCTTATTAAAAAAAATAAGTAAGCAAGAAACTATTTGCTAAAATAATTACTGCTAAATTAAATGAACAAAAGTATGAAAAAAAGTAAAACAATAAAATAACAATAACGAGGCTACATACAGGGGGTACCGGTACCTTGTCAATGTGCGGGGGTACAGGTTAGTAAAGGTAATTGAGGTAATATGTACATGTACTGTAGGTAGGGGTAAAGTGACTATGCATAGATAATAAACAGTGAGTAGCAGCAGCATAAAAAAGGGGGTCAAGGCAAATAGTTCAGCTAGCCATTTGATTAACTGTTTAGCAGTCTAATGGCTTAAGGAACCTTTTGGACCTAGTCTTGGCTCTCCGGTACGACTTGCCATGTGGTAGCAGAGAGAACAGTCTATGACTAGGGTGGCTGGAGTCTTTAACCATTTTTAGGGCCTTCCTCTTACACCACCTGGTATAGAAGTCCTGGATGGCAGGAAGCTTGGCCCCAGTGATGTACTGGGCCGTATGCACTACTCTCTCTTGCGGTCGGATGCCGAGCAGTTGCCATACAGAGCGGTGATGCAACCAGTCAGGATGCTCTCTTTTTGAGGATCTGAGGACCCATGCCAAATCTTTTCAGTCTCCTGAGGGGGAATAGGCGTTGTCGTGCCCTCTTCATGACTGTCTTGGTGTGTTTGGACCATGATAGTTTGTTAGTGATGTGGCGCCAAGGAACTTGAAGCTCTCGACTCGCTCCACCACAGCCCCATCGATGTGAATGGGGGCGTGCTCGGCCCCCCTTTTCCTGTAGTCCACGATCAGCTCTTTTGTCTTGCTCACGTTGAGGGAGAGGTTGTTGTCTTGGTACCACACTGCCAGGTCTCTGACCTCCTCCCTGTAGGCTGTCTCATCGTGGTTGGTGATCAGACCTACCACCATTGTGTCATCAGCAAACTTAATGATGGTGTTGCTGTTGTGCGTGGCCATGCAGTCGCAGGTGAACAGGGAGTGTTAGGAGGGGACTAAGTATGCGAATTGTAGTGGGTCTAGGGTTTCTGGGATGATGGTGTTGACGTGAGCCATGACCAGCCTTTCAAAGCACTTCAT